AGAAAGAAAGAAAGAAAGAAAGAAAGAAAGAAAGAAAGAAAGAAAGAAAGAAAGAAAGAAAAAAACCCTAACAATATTTTTTGACAAAAATCTCACTGAAGACAGAAGCACATTCTCATATACAAAATTATTCAGGGACAGATTTTTTTGGCCACTTTTCAATAATACTTTTGTTAGAATGACAGATTWACAAAACCTTTGTGTAATTTAGATTCAGTCGTTGAACAGTTTGATTTGTTATTCTGAGAAACGATGAAACAATTCTTTTTACCAGAAGTAGCATTTCATTAGAAACAGGTCTTAGTAGGGGTGGGCAATATGACAAGAATATCTTTTGTATGTAAAGAAACTGAAAGTGAAAACTTATTGTTTATTTTACAGAGATACGCTAAAATATGACAGATTTGTTAAAAAGACTTGCCTTACGGTCACTCAAGTTAGTGTTTGGTGCCTTCAAGCATTCCATCAACCATTCAAACCTTTCACTGTGTAGTTTCCCATCATTCTGAGGAGCTCAGACAGAAGATTACAGATGTTAAAGGTTGTATGGTGTCGTGTGAAAAAGTAGGTTTATGGGACTGTAGCCAGAACATGGACACAAAAGGAAACGCAACCCCTGGTTGATGAGGAAATCATCCAAAACTATCGAAGCTGAACTTTAAAGTCAAGATACGTCACTTTCTGATTGCGTCATCAGTCACATTTTGAGTCATAACAGGCTCCTTTAAAAAAAGATCTGCTGTTGGAAGAAAAACATAAAAAAAAAAAGTAGGTCCTCTGGATGGGTTCTTCTTTAGTGAAACGTTTCGTCTCTCCTCCAAGAGACTTCTTCAGTCTGATGAGTTTCAGGTGAACTCAGCCTTATAAGCACTGCCTCCACATGGACAAACAGGCTAGTCACATGCAAAAGAGGGCCATCGCCTAACAATAGGCTTAATTAGAACAAAGGGARGTTGAACCCCCGCTTGCATTCACCACATACACATAACATGACCCTCTATGAACAATAGAACTAATCAAGCCTATTGTTAGGCGATGGCCCTCTTTTACATGTGACTAACCTGTTTGTCCACCAAGTGGAGGCAGTGCTTATAAGGCTGAGTTCACCTGAAACTCATCAGACTGAAGAAGTCTCTTGGACGAGCGACGAAGCGTTTCACTAAAGAAGAACCCATCCAGAGGACCTACTTATTTTTTCTTTTTGAATTGTTCTACCTGGATCACTGAGATGCATCAGGACATAAAAAAGACAGACTAGAATTTTTCAAAATGCATTTTGACGAGCACCAAAGTTTCTGGGACCGATGAGACAAAACTGGATCTTTACAGTCGGTCACATCAGTTATGCTTTTTGATTATTGTGAAAGGACACCAACAAACTTATCCACATCTGTAAATTATGAAGAAAGGTCCACATATTCATGGGATTTATAACGTTATGTGTTTTAAAGTAAATTTTTAGGGTATTTCTGTGATTCTGTGGAAATCATTGCTCTACAACAGATGGCTCTATGATCTGTCTGCTTCGGCAGATCAACGTATCGGAAGCTTTAACAATCTGATATCGTCCTACAGCCCACCCCCACATCTCAGGGCCTGTTTTTGTCAYCAGGTGAGGCAGCATCTGTCAGAAACAACCAAATATAAAAATGGTATTTACACTCAGAACCTGCTGGTGGTTGTTCTGTACAGCAGAGTGTCCCCACACACAGGCCTGGTTGTTTCTGTACATGTCGGAGCAGGAGCTGGACAGGAGGCAATAGTGCATTTTGTTGTGTGATTTCTTGCTCTCCTTCAGGCTCTCTCTTCATCCCGCTCCTCCTCTTCCTCCACGTCTGCTGGGAACCGTCAGCGAACCTGCGGGGAGTAGCCCTCCTTCATCAGCCCCTCTTCATAGTCCGTCTGGCACAGAATCATGTTGTTCTTTAGGAAAAATTTGTCTCCCACACAAAACCTGTACGACACAYAGAGAGGAGAGTTTAAAGAAAGAAGCTCAAACTGCCTCTTCAGCCCCTCTGAAGTGGCTTCTTGTAGCTTTGACTTAAAGTCACATGAGCCTGTGTGAATATAGATTTCATCTGATAACAATAAAGTGGAGTTTTATCTGATGATTTTCACCATGACTCTAAATACACTGCTTGTGTTTTTAAAACATGGTTCTTTT